CGCGGAGCGGTGGGAGGGAGGGAGGCGGGCCTTTGGCCTCTTACCTGGAGAGGAGAAATAACCCGAACTCGGGCAGGTCCCCCGCCGGGCGTCAAGCCGTCGTTTTTATTCGCTGCTTTATGCGCGGAGAGGGAGAGGCAGGAGGCTTGCCCAGCCTTTCAGAAAGCAGGTGGAAAAGTTTGACGTTGAGGAAATTCTTGTAAGCCAAAAGCCGCTAGCCTGGGGAGAGCTGCTGGGGACCGAGTTCAGCTCTTTGCTGAATGGTTGCACCTCGCGTGTTTTTGTTTCCTTTGACAGTAGCGGGCTCGGTTTTGTAGCTAAAGATGTCGGGTAAAACTCCGTGGCAAGAGTGTTGAACTGGAGTACTTGAGCACCAGTATTAATAAATTGCTGTACGGGTGGATTTGGTGAGACGGTATCAGCAATTTTTCTCAGGGAATTTTAAAAAGTGGTTTTCTTCTTGATGTCAGAACGAGGTTTGTGGGGGAAGAAGTGAAAGAAGATGAGGAGAGGGAAGATCTGAGAAAAGTCAGAGAACACATTAAAAGGAATTGAAAAGGAGAAGAAAGTCTGGAAGGGAGAATACAAAGCAAAAAGCAGATATAGTGCTGAAAAAGCACAGGGTAAAAAGATGCCACAAAAGCAGGACTGGTTGTTAAAATCTCTTGTTTAGTTAATAGAGAGGATGAAAGAGGCAGTTGGTTGAAATGTGCTATTTAGAAAAAGTCACTCCAGTAGGTGGCTGACTTAAAGATTTTTCTTCACAGTTTGACCAGCTCAGTACTATTTAGATACTATTTGGCACTTACACAGTGGAAAATTCATGAGTATACTGGGAAGTAGTGGTAAAAATCACTGCATAACATCACTGAATATTTTCCTTGCTGTTCAGCCAAACCTATTATTAAGTCATATTAAAAAAACGCAGTAGGAATGTGATTGACAGTGCATTACTACTAAATACAAAACACTACTCAGCAGATTCCTTATTTAAACACCAGAGTAGTAGCCTTGTGGGTTTGGGACAGCCAAGGTCCATTTCAGCCTGGTTAGTGAAAGTTTTTTATTGTGGGGCCATCATTATTGTGGTATAGAAATAGGTTTAGGGCATTTTTTTTTCTCAGCTTAAACCTACTGCCACTTGTCATGGAGATGTTCTTGTACTGGCAGAGGTGTCGGCTTGTATCAGTAGGGTGATCCGTATCTTTTTAAAATTGTATACTATGCTTTGTCAACTTTTTTTTTCTTTTTAATAACAAGCTATGTCACAGCTGAAAATGAAACTAGGGTTCCTGTATAATTTTGAAAATGATACTCCTAATCTTTGTGTGGCATCTTTGGTGGGATATTTATTCTAAAACTCTCTCCCGAAAGCAGTGCCAATTATTTCAGTAATACCACAGTTGCACCCACAAACTGGTTCACGTATGAGCCTGTCATGCTGTGTGTTACTAAGTGATGATTATTACTTACATTTTATGGTACCTGCTGTGTGTTACTGCATTCGCAGATAGGCATGAAGACAAGATTCTCTACCCAGTAAGCTTGCAAATTAATCAGGGGTTGATCCAATCAGTATGTGTTAAAATGAAAGGGTGAATTTTCATTCATAGGATTGGACTTAGAAAACAACCTCATTTTATCTCCCCTGATTTTATAATAACTTTGAGAGAGGTTCGTTCCCTCCCC